GTAAACATCTACCAGACTACACGGTGCAACAACCCAGAAGACGGAAATCTTCAAACAGAAAATTGATACATTTCCTAGTATGTCATCTATTATCGATATTCCTATACAGAGACTGGTCTGTTTTTTTAATACGTAGTAACATTTAAATTGTTTATTTATCAATTTCTGCATTTATATAGGCCCATATTACACTAAAATTTTATTTTACTCTTGTTATAAGTTTCGTACGGGTTATTCAACATATCTAAAATATTTTATGTCCATCTCGTAGCTAAGTCGATTTTATTTTGTGTTAATATCAATTAAAGTTCTATATTTTAAGAATATAACCCTGACAGAAACTGTGATCTTTGTGTGAAGTTTTAATTTGATTAAGACTCCTACTTGGTGCGCTAATACTAGGCCTATTCATTGTCCTCAAAGAACTCATTTACATTTACAGTTACATTCGATGTATTTCCGAAATACAATTTTTTCATCCGATACAGGAATGCGGGCTTCACCGAAAATGAGGGTATAGTCAATATCAATTTTTTATGTCTGAAATGCTTACAAATATTTTTAGGTACAGAAAGACTTTTACCGAGACTCTAATTCAGGATACTTTTTCTAAAATCTCTTCCTAATCTCAAGGAACAAACATGTCAAGTTTGATACAAATTGGTGTTTTAGTTCTCGAGGTATAAGTTAACGCACATTTTAACTGATTCAGTTTTACGTATAAAATTTAATAATTTGGACGTGATATTTCATAAATTATCCTAAGCTATTAGGAATGGGACAATATACAGGGTGATTCAAAAGGTTAGGGCCAAACTGAAGGAGCGTATAGAGGGACTCAGAGAACAGTCAGTCGAGGACATTGAAGGTAGGGAAGTCTGATAACATACTGCTGAAATAATCGTACTTTGCTAATTGCTAATGTAATCCTTGTACATTAATAAAAATCAAAATTAAGCTAGTAGGAGAATATCAAAGAATGATTATTTGAGCTGTATGTTATCAGACTTCCCTACCTTCAATGGCCTCGACTGACTGTTCTTTGAGTCTCTCTATGCGCTCCTTCAGTTTGGCCCTAACGTTTTGAATCACTCTGTATATGCGTGTCATTTATTACTGTACAGACATTCAAGGAATTTTCAACAAAGTTGCTAAATTTTGGAAGTGGTTTCTAACTAAACACTAATCGAAATATAATAAATTCAACAGCTGTCAATTGTTTATATCTCACGTGCATAAAATGGCGCTGTTCTGCCCTTTTTCCTGTATCCGGAAAGGCGCGTCTTGTGTCAATAAGCGTATTCTTTACTCAGACCCTACGTCACACGAGGTCTATGTCTGCTTAATATACACTGCATTTTTCCTTGTTGTCTTTGTTGGTAGAACGGAAACGAAGGTGACATATGTAAATGTTTGTCACACAGCCGAACTTTGTTTCTTTAATTAACCATTGATACATTGCCCTGAAACAGAAAAACAACTTGTTAATCTGCGAAAATACGTTTTCAAGCAACATACGAGTGTTTTGGTGTTATCTTATTACAGTGCTCAAATTAACGTATTGGATGTGAAACACTAATTTATTTTCAATTTAAAAGCAGCGTAGTGGAATGTGATACAATAATTTCACTAGGCTAAAATTATTTTACGAAGAGGGCTATCTTGTGGGATGTTGTGCCGTGTAGTCTGGTAGAAGTTTACCGACGTTTCAGAGGTCCTAGCTTCCTCCATAATCGGCACATATCGTCATGACAATCGTCTTCATACTTGCAGCCGTGGAAAACTCATATCCATCGAAATTATTTTAGTCTTAAAGCTTAATCGAAGTGACTACTTCCAGTCATAATTATAAACTTGGGAGGGTGGGGCTTTAAAGTTGGTCTTAAATAGACAGGTTGTAAGGATATAAACTAGATCCATCTGGTTCAAAATAAATCCAGTATGTTTTAAACACTGTGTTCAGTGTTCTGATTTCATTAAAGAAGGTCCATTTCTTGGGTATCCAAGGGATTTTTGGCTTCTTCAGAACTCTCTTTCAAGGAGTTCAAAGATCGTAATGATTATCTTTGAAACACAAGAATATGTAGTAACAACTGTCGGTTACGGCTATAATCTTTCGTGATCAATAATGTCAATTACGTTATAACAAAGCAATTTAAAAAAAATTATAAATCTTATCTACAGTATTATACTACTTTCTTTCAATGTCGATACGAAACCTCTGTGAAGATACGATTTATTTTTCATTAATTTATGTTTCCGTTCCATTGTTGTTCTGGACATAGCTAACTAACTTACTAACTAACTAGATGGCTTACCGAAGCCGAAGGTTCATCACCGAATTAACCAAAGCCCTCCACCGGTCCCTGTCCTGGGCCAACAAAATCCAGTCTCCGTCAACTCCTATCTCCCAAAGATCCCGCCTGAGATTATCCTCCCATCTACGTCTAGGTCTCCCCAGCGGTCTCTTCCCCTCAGGCTTCCCAAATAGTGGACCCAACCAACTAGATGGCTTACAGAACCCGAGCGTTCATCAACGAATTAACCAAAGCCCTCCACCGGACCCTGTCCTGGGCCAACAAAATCCAGTCTCCTTCAACTCCTATCTCCCATAGATCCCGCCTGAGATTATCCTCCCATCTACGTCTAGGTCTCCCCAGCGGTCTCTTCCCCTCAGGCTTCTTGACCAATATCCAATTAACACATCTTTCCCCCTCCATGCATGCCACATTACCTGCCAATCTCTTTCTTCTTGACTTAATTTAATTACAAATGTTTAAGCTCGTCATTGTGCAGTTTTCTCCACGCCCCATCGTCTTCCCTCTTAGGCCTAAATATCCTCCTCAACACCCGATTCTCAAACACCTGCAATCTGTGTTCCTCCCTCTGAGTGAGAGACCATGTTTCGCACCCATACAAAACAACAGGCAAAATTATTGTTTTGTATA